CCCATCCAAAAGAGGCCCTGCGCATATGTCTGTATGAAGAATATATGTCAATTGTTTTTATTATTATTTATGATGAGAGTACCTACAGTTCGTATACAGGGCATAATGTTTGGATGACAACATTACAGGATGTGCTGGAAGTGCTGACCCTCTGTGGAAGTGCACGTCTAAACCCCGTGCAGCATTTTCAAGGAAATGCATAACAGTTCTTTCTCAGAAATGGCGGTAATTGTAGCTGTAATGTTGCCCTTTAGTTGCTCATTTGTTCTTGGATTTCTCTGGTACACTTTTCCTTTAAGGTTCCCCGCAAGTAAAAACTTCAACAAAAATGTCTTACGCGACCAGCCCATTGTCTGAGAGCTACCCACGTTATCGCACCGCGTCTGCGCTTTTGCTAGCCTCGTTCCGGGTTTCTTTTGACTGCGCCACCCTGTATTTCCTAAGGATAACATAATGGGAAATAGAGGATGGCCCAAAAAATGTCCTGAACGCAGCACACCTGCAGACAGTGAAACATATGTGCTATCGACAGGAAATGTATAGTCCTTAACATGCAATGTTTGCAGGTAATGGGACAAAAATATTGAAATTGGTAGTAAAGTACGTGAGTAACGATTTTTCTCCTGCGCTATGTCAAAGGAGCAAATGTGCAAGGAAACGTGCCTGACCTCCATGAAACAATTGTTTGATGCATCCTACGTGGATGTTTCCTCCTTGGAACGCGGGCCGAGACAGCACACTGGCAAACGCAACTGACACACTTGTGCATTTGACGGAAAGAACTCTTAATCATGGTCAGAGCAAAGAATTTCATTTATATTTTCCTGAAACCACCTACATATATAGGGCATGACACATTGAAAAGGTGAAGACAATGCTTCCCGAGGTGTTCCGTCTGCAGACGCATGTAGTTTCAGGACTTTTTGGGCCACCCAATATATCCATCTTACTTTTTCACTTTGCAGGATATTCCTCATCCAGGACAATGCAGCACTATCGGAGCTAACAGAAGAAACCTTCCAGAGTCTTACAATCCAAGTAATACAGATTCAAAGGAGTGCAGTAAAGAAAATCCACCTATCAGCCTCATCACCTTTGCGACATCAGCTGGAGGGTTTGGAAATTTCTCACAGTCGGCTGGAAGATTTTCCCTTTCATAAACTTCGTGAATTTCACCGCTTGAGAGAACTCTGGCTCAACAACAATTTGTTGACCTCTATACCAGCAATCGAGAGCGACAGCCTGGAAAACCTCATTCTTCAAAACAATAACATCACGAGTGTGGAGTTCGATGGACGGACGACTCCTAGATTGAGAAGAATCTACGTCATGAACAATATGTTGATGTCCATCCCGCCCTTCAAGAGCGACAGCCTAGAATTACTAGGTCTTGAAAACAATCAGATCACGAATATAGAGTTCGACCGATGGGAGACACCCAGATTGAAAGAAATATGGCTCGCAAATAATTTGTTGACCCTTTTACCGGCTTTCAAGAGCGAGAGTCTAGAAAAACTCAATTTTCAAAGCAATCAGATAACGAGTATAGAGTTCGACCGATGGGAGACACCCACATTGAAAGAACTATGGCTCGGAGAGAATTTGTTGGCCTCTGTCCCAGTCTTCAAGAGCGACAGTTTAGAAACTCTCGGTCTTCATGAGAATAAGATCACGAGCATAGAGTTCGATGGACGGACGACTCCCAAATTGAGACAACTCCAACTCGACAAAAATTCATTGGTCTCCATCCCGACCTTCAAGAGCGACAGCCTCGAAATACTACGTCTTGCCACCAATAACATCACGAATATGGAGTCCGATGGATGGGAAACACCCAATTTGAGGGTATTCGACATTGGTGAGTATTTTATATCTGGTGTTGTAAATGCATTGTAATTAGGACTGTACTGGTGGGCCGATGGTCGATTATTATCACATACCTATCGGGCGGTACCGGTGCTAGTACCGGTGCCGGTGACCATGCCTATCGTGACGTGTAGAGAAACAGTGAAAAAGCATTCGACAAAATTTTTTTAAAAGTCAAATAGACATATGAATGCATGTGCAATTTTATTATTACTTCCACGCTGGGTTTATCGAATACACACGTGTCGACCTGAAACATCGATAGTGCATCGATGCTGGCGGGGGGTGGGGTAGTCGGCGGATTCAGTCTTTTCTCACTGCGATCAGGATGAGGTTTCTGCCTCGTTTCCGCCATTTCTTGCCTCGATCGGGGCGCGGACCTATATCCGCCTTCTATAATTTGTCGCTTGTGATTCGAGGAGTTCGAGGGAGAGGTGTGACCTTCACGACGGTGATAAAGCCTATTATCTCAACCTCAACTATCGAAAATGACATCAATATATCGATGGATGACCTGCGATAGCTCTAATTTTTTCCTATCGACGTTGAGAATCGGTGACCGAGTCCCGTTCATGTGGTATTTTTAAATTTTTCCTCGTTCAGCCCGTCCATCTTTGAACAGCGGCACCGGCCGGTTCCTAACCTGCCGATGGCCGATGTGGCCGATAGTCCAACACCGGCGGCCGATATCGATGTTAGCCGATACATCGGTACAGCCCTAATTGTAACCTTTGACAGTACCTTATTATTGGAATGTTCTATTACCTGCGATTAATTCACCACCGCCTTCTAGACAAATTGGGGATGGAATTGACGTGTTGCAGCCGCTTGTTTCCGACGACCCCATCGTGATGGGAGTCACTTCAACATCCAATTCTGTTCCCATTTTAAGTACACCATTTACGTTTGAGTCACCCCTGACCCGATATATGTTCCCTATGGATTAAATAGGAATTCGTTTGAGTTTTTTGCTGCTTCGTGACTTCTTATAACAAAAGGATCGATCACACATGGGTTCATTATTTTATTAGCTATGTTTGCATACCTAATTATAGTTAACACTGAATTAATTCCAAAATTTTGCTCCAAAAACTGATCTCCGAAATTGTCAATTGCGAATTTGTTTTGCAAGGCACATAAAACGTACTTGTGCCCAATTTGAAAATATTTTTTCCATGCGACGTATAGTGGATGCTTGTTTTGTTGTCATATGCGGAGGGACAAAAAGTACATCCGGCTCTTTTTTTCTGTATGTTTTGGCTGTATTTCTTTGCTGCACTCAGTCCAGCAAAGGAGCTCGAGTCATTGCGTAGTCTAGACAGTCACGCAGAAATGACGCCGGTAGCAGAGGACGGTCGTGGAAAATATGATTTTGTCTCCAGCAATTTGCGAAAGAACTGCATGCCCAATTCTACTAAGAACAATTATTTTTTTGAAGAGCTTGTTCTAGTGCCATCCCAGATTTATTGCAGTCCACAGCACATATGCACTGTAGTCCGAGGTGTTCAACAAATAATAATATACTGGCACCCAAAATAAACGAGACAAGGTAATGTAGGGCTCGGCCGCGAATTGAGTTGTAATGGCATTATATGTCTTTTGCTGAACAAGTCAATACCTCTTGAACATCATTAGTACGTGTATTTGCTCGCTAACCGTTGAGTGCTGTGCATGTGCCACGTCAGGAATACGTCCAATTAGGTTTTCTCCATGTCATATGTTAAGTTCAGATTTCCATAGACAAAACAGGGCTGATTCTATCGTGTATTTCATACCGTCTCTGAAAAACATGAGTGATATGCCAAAGCTAACGCAGCAACGAAAGGACAGGGCGAAGAAAATGCTCCAAGAGGGTGTAATGCGACAAGAATTCACGCGGCGACCCGGATGGGCTCGCGTAGCCTAAACCAGATAAAATCCGCACTTTCCCAAAACTGGCAGAACGCTTGACTTTGAGAATCACTATATATCTCAACGGCAAGTGCTCTGGAAGCTTGTTCCAAGAAAGTTCAAGATGGTGTAACCCATGATAAAATGCACTAGCATTGCAATCGAGTCAAATAGACCCGAGCATAACAGGAGGGGGTATCACAAATACTTCAGTATGCTTCATGGAAATGAGTTTGGCTTTGAGGTCGTCAATATATTCGGAAAGTTAGGAAAAGTATTTTAAAAATTCAGATTTTTTCGATGAAATACATCGAAGTTAAATCAGGTTTAATGAGTGTTTTGGGTCAAATAGACCCCAACATATCTTGCACCACCTGCCCAAATACTTTGTTTCTCAAGGCGAACGTCTGTCCAACTTGATTTGAAAGATATTTCCTCGTTTCACTCGGCACCTTGCATAATATCAAAGCGACTTCTATTTCACGAACGAAAGAAGCTTCCGCTCTGAGAATGTGATTAAACCCAGTGAAGAATTGACCCATAACATCATATACAAGAAACAGGCCATGTCACATGGCCTTCTCCTCGTTGTCTTTTAATCCCGCTATTGTAGTTGGAGGTAATGTTTTAACAGGATAGGGTGGGTATAATTTACAAACCCTATTACAATTACATTATAATATTATTGCATAATTAATTACATTAATAAATAATTAAATACATACTTATTAATACATAATATCATAATTATAATATTATTTCAACCGACACAACGAGCCCCCTTGACAATTCTAAAGTAGATGAAAAGAGCCCCTTCTCAATGGAAATATAATACTATAGTGAATGGCGAATTGACATCGTTCGCAATACTTCAAAATTCCTCTAACATATCACAAGGCTATCAAAATTTTTAAGTAAACCCAAATTTTTATTTTTATTTCTTAATTAGTCACTCATTTAAAACAATTGATGAAGGAAAACAACTAAAACGACTTTACTAGGTATTACTCACATCACCCTAAATATGCGATGCTGACCTTGCTTCTTTTCAGCATTTTAATTATCTGTCTTTCCATTCCGTTCAGGTTTCAATCCCTTAGTCCAGTTTCCATCTGCCATAGTCAATGGCTTGAAGAAACTGGAGAAGTTTTGGTGCCATGGAATCATGCTTGGTCCAACTCTTCCAAGCGGTTTCCTGCAATTCCAGAGCAACACCTTGAAAATGGTAGCCTTCGAGGTCAACAACATCTCCAGACTGGAGCCAGGAGCCATCACAGGTATGATCTCCCCATCTGACTCGATAACCGTGGGTTATAGAATCTATTGCATCATCAACCTCATGAATATTGGTAAATAGATTATATCCATAGGGTTTTTTTACGATGCTTTGAAGGCCAAACCGACCTTGCTGACCGACCATTATTGCATCGACGTTCCCCATCGAATCCCGAAAAGTTTCATTTTCCATGAACATTCTTCCAGACTAGTGCGTTATGGATAGAATCCACGTGGGAGCCGATAAGTAAACTTACCTGCGTTTTTCTATCAAATAAGGCGACATTGTATGACTAAATGAAACTATTTTTCTCTTCGCAGGTGAAGCAAATTAAACGCTTAAGTCAAACATTCATGATTCCTGATTTTGCAATTACTGCTGTCACCCTGAAGTCATTGATAAGTATCAGGCTTCCAAAATCTTATGCATGAGAAAAACTCTCCCCAAAGCTCCTGATGCTAAAATTAACTTGTTATAAAAATGACAATTTCTTGAGATCTATGCAGCTTTACCACTTCATGGAAAAAGTTTCGAACGCTGAATATCCCTGTTCATGGTACATTGAAAGCCTCCAAATTTTCTTATAATGACATNAGTGTCCGTGTTTATTGATTCCTATAATGAGACTAGGCGAGACATATGACAAGGTACTAAACAATCCTGCAAGGGACGATTCCAGGGAAAGAGAGAAGGGAACTTTTGTGTACTGTGCGAAAAGCGAGACCCTTACCGCCATCTAGTGGCCTGGCGAAGAACTTCAAGGTGCTCACTTCAATACGAGCGATAAGGGAGCATTTGTTGAGTAATAAGAGAGTAAATTCGAAAAGCTCACGGTGTGCTCACTTCTTACTCCCCAAACGCTCGGAATTTTCTAAGAGTGTATATGCACTTCCCTGACGAAATCTGGCAGAAAAAAACTAGTGAAGATGCGTAGAAAAATCGAAGAATGTTTCGAGATCGTGAGATGGAGCAATTCGGAGAAAATTCCAAAATGTGGTTATATTGGCGAGGAGGGTCGCGTCAATTTCCTTTGTTCCTTCCCTGAAGCCGCTTCCTTATAGGACCGTTGATTGTCTAACTTGGAAGCAGTGTCAAGATGAGATCTCCAGCAGTACTCAAACCACTCATTTGAAATTCAATTGAAGTCCATGGTATGCAAGTATGAGCTGGTGTAACAAGTTTCATCAAGATCGTTCAACTTTTTGGTGCTGTGCTTTTTTCGGACAATGAGTAGGGTAGACTCACCAGTTTGCGGACGGCACCTATTTGTGCACAGTTTTGCGTTTTTGCCATTTCATAAAATAATTCATAATTGTCGACAAAAATTGGTTTCCACAAACTAGGTCCATGGATGTCCACAAACTTGAACCAGGCCGTCCACAAATAGGAACCACGTGAAAATCAACACATATCCATTCAAACTGCGTATGTTGAAAAAAAAAAAACATGTTTAACATTTCATTTAAGTGTGTGGGCATCAAACTATGGTAAGTGGCTTCCCACCGAAACCAATCAAGCGGTTTCTCGATTACCCCAACGACTGTAACACAATTTTCAAGAGGAAAATTTCTTTAACTTGTCCACAAACTGGTGCCTTTACCCAAAATGAAAAATGTGGATTTTGTGAATTGGCAATTTGAATCTGACATGAACCTATCGTGAATGTATGAAAATTCACCCAGCCAAGTGCAGGAACATGGTGATAGACGTAGTTCCCGAACTTCGAGGAAACATCACGTGAAACCTAGTTGCATTTGAACGGCAATCTATTGCTCGGCAACATTGCTACATTGAATCAGCAATGTCTCATTGTTCTAATGAGAATGGTCGTAACACGCTGGATATATTTTGTCCATGAAGGTTAATTCCATGCTACGGTCAACCCAGAGGCCAACATAAAAAGCTCGTAAATATTGCAATTTATGTGCATACACTGATTGATGAGCATCAAGGACATATAATGTTGAACTTTGAACGTGAATAGAGCAGCATTGACTCAATGCTGACCCCATGCGGGAGTATGAAAGGTGACCGTCCCCGCATCAAATCAATGTTAACACGAAGCAATAAACCGTCAAGAGAGATACATACTGTACAATACACGCCTCAGGATTGAATAAAAGTTTTGTGCACGGTCAGACAGATGCAACGAAACGTAGAGAAATCAGTACTGGAGTAGTGTAGTAATCAGTTTAGGTTCACGTGATGCTTGTATGTGATGTGATGACTCCTTTTTCTGCTGCAGGAGGGTTATATCGTCGATGAAACTGACAGTAATAGCCTCAGGCACCAACTAACATACTCTCTAGAAGCCCAGGAGTCTTAAGCTATTTTTCGCACGAGGCTATGAATTTCATTTTCAGGTTTCGGACCTGATACGATGGTTTTTCTCAGCGGAAATCAAATCACGGAATTGTCCGAAGAGATTTTCCGCCCGATGTTGGAGATCCTCTCAACGGGAGTTGGAGTCCTTACTGTAGTCTGTCAGTTTTACGGTGTCTCGTTATTACACACCATAAGTATCTTCCATAATTCCTTCTTCAACATGTTTCCACTCATTCCTTAAGAAGATAAGGTCTGTTAGGGTAGGACACGCTTTGTAAAATGGCATGGCTAGTACTCAACCAGAAATTCCTAAGGAACATTTATGGGAAGTGCAATAATGGAACAGAATTCAAGGACTTGGATTCGGGTTCCTTAAAAGCCTGCCCTCGTGAATGTCCTCACCAGTGCATCAACAGCTTACTGATATCTCTCTGTACATCAGGGACCTTGATTCTTTCACATGTGGACAACTGTCGAAATGGAGAACTGTGCTGCCAGCCATACATCCAAAACACCACTACAATGGCATCATCATCAGTACCAGATTTCTACTTTGGTATGTAAAGTAATAATGAAAGTGGGTCATATCTTTCCAACAAAACAAAGACCTGATCAAATGACAAGCTATGCTTGCATCCTGAACTGAATCCAAAAATCCACAAGATTTGCATCACAAAAACTAACATAATCCAATGGGATAACACATTTACAAAACAGCAATCAATAGTTCTAAAGTTTTCCAAATTGTTTTCTACACATCCCACCCTGGTATATTTCGTCATAACCGCAGTTCTGGTCATTTTATCCGCCTACAGGTAGTACAAAAGGATGTGGGCAATTAAGCACACCGACGCATGGATCTATAGATATTGCATCTTGTCCGACTACTTCGGAAATGATTGGTGATGGAAAGGACACAAAATGCATTCAAGATGGCAAATATGAATTCGGGAGTGTTGTCAGATACACGTGCAATAAATACTACATTCTAAGGGGACCCGAAATTCGCAGATGCACGCAGGATGGAGAATGGACCGGAAACACACCGTTTTGTGAGCCAGGTCGATTTTCCAATCACCTTATTCCATGTTTAGCTGATGCAAATGATTGGTATTTGAAAATGTACTGTCGTACTATCCTTCATCTAGTATGCGGGAGAAAGAATTATCAAGTGACATTGTCCAAAGGAGGAAAGCCATCACAGATAGGAGAATGGCCATGGCAGGTAGCCATTCATGACGCTTATGAAAAGGATATCGTTTGTGGAGGGGCCCTCATTCGAGAGCAATGGGTACTCACAGCGGCCCACTGTGTCACTATTCAGGGTACTGATAGACCTCGGACCCAGGAAGACCTATTGGTTTACCTTGGGAAACAGCATCGAGCTAATGTTGAAGACGATGAATACGTGCAGATCAGACAGGTTCAATAAACAGAAAATTCTTGTACTTTCATTCATTTCCGGATGATGGAAATTGCCGCAATTTCTTTATAGGTGTCTCACATATTCCACCATAAGGATTACAGCATACAAAACTATGACTCAGATATTGCTCTACTGAAATTAACCACGCCTTCCGTGCTGACTGAGCGAGTGCAGTTGATATGTCTCCCGACAAAAATTGATATTTCTGACGAAAATCTCCAGGATGGAACACTAGGATGGGTAAAGTGTGAAATGCCTCTTCACCCTTAAATACAATGTCTTCTGGATGGACGTCGTTCTAAAAATCCCTTTTTGATCGCACATTGCTGCAGGTTGCCGGTTGGGGCTATGACGGTTCGGATCTTCTTACGGCTGTCCTGACAGATGTTCAGCTCCCGGTGATATCCAATCGCTTGTGTCGTCGGGACACTACATCCTTCACTGGGGACATCAGCGCCACTCGTACCCTCACCTCAAACATGTTTTGCGCTGGACATTCTAAAAACACTTCTCTTGAAGGTATGCATGATCACCTTTGCAATGACATTAATGTTCCATTCTTGCTTAAACGCGTTTTGAGGTAATTTGGTCGTGCCTTATGGACTTGCGCTCAGAAACCCTTTTTCTAAATTTTTCATGATGGTAAACACCTATTCATTTGGTGGGTTTCATTTGCTGAATTTAGTAAATAAATTTTCATTGTCACGTATGGAATATGACCCTTTCTTTGGTACAGTCATCATTAGATGACACATTTTTAAATGTTCACAAACAACGTCTTATACGTAAGATCTCGATTATGTACATAAATATCGCTCTTTCTTTGTTCTCCCAAATGATTGGGTAATTATTAGCTTCATCACTTGAAGACCTAGCAATATTGTTCTTATTTTCTCTCCATCCCCACTTCTCGACCATATGCTGGTCTGTGGCCGTTTTCTCCCTTAGGCGCTTCATTTTTCTTATTTATTCCTTCTTAATTCTCGCTCAAGATCCACAGTTTTCACAAACAATGTGATCAATTTTATGTTCAGCAAGAGATGATTCTTCTCAATTTTTTTTCATCGAGAAAACGTCTCCTGGCTTATTTCAGAGGAAAATAAAAATGCTCTACTCAGGCGTTCAAAGTTTTCATGAAATGGTGTTCATGTGGAAGCGTTTCATGGGGATCGATGAATATATATCTTATTATCCACTTCATTAGGCGCAGATACACAAAATACGATTCATATTTGGATTGGACGATCGGCTGATATTGAGGTGCTGCTACAGTATGAAGAGAAACTTTAGTATCTTCTTTCCTTAAGCACTTTACAACTGGCATTGGCTATGTGAATTTTGACTGAATTTATCAGTCACTTAGGCGCCAAAATAATCATGCAAAGCTTACTCTTACTGAGAATCATATATATTGATGGAATCATGACCTCCGACATTGATCAGGAATTTCCTTCAATAAAAACTGAAGGTTGGGATACATGGAGTAATTATGGAGATATCTGGTTCAGTTAGACTCTTTTCTGGAAATGAAGTAAATTTCTGATGACAAAAAATTGAAAACTGATCAGGACGTTGAATCGTTTTTAAAATCTGTCCAGGAATCGACCGAAATTCGCGATATGACTTTTCTCTGAAAAGTCAAAACCAAGTCAGTTGACGCATAAGACACTGATAATAAAAATCAAGCCATACTTCCTCATTTTCCACTTTTCAGAGGGAATCAGTCAAAATCAGAGTTTATATTTTTGGATAATTAGGTCAAAGTTCAGTGCATTTATTTAAGAATTATGTGTTACTCTTTCTGAGAAAACCTACAAATACTGCGTGGTACATGAAAAGGTTGAAATAGACCCTTAAGAGTTATGAGGCACCTCTCAAATAAGACTAGTTATCACTATATTGAGGATAGGGATATCCAGAACATGGTTTTAATTAGCGTCATTCACCCATTCACTCACGATCGCCCTCATATATTAGATTTTTAGACCGATAAAGACTTCTCATGAATTCATATGAAAAATAAAGAGGTATGAGGTATCTAATGAAATTCACTGATTATGGCTTATTTCATATTCAAATTAAATTCCTTCTAATACTTTCTTATTATATTACTTTGGTTACGGTTCAAGGACATATCGAGAATGATGATAAGCCTTACCATACAGATTATCAAACGGTGTGTCCTGGGGACTCGGGAAGTCCCATGGTCTTCCTCTCCAATACCTCACTGGACAGTTTCTGGACGGTGGAAGGAATCGTGAGTCACTTTTTCCAGAAAGAGACTTGTTCTCTGAGGCGACCTGGACAGTATGGAGTTTTCACCAGA